CTGATGCTAAGTTGAGAAGCCCTAAGCGGCTGTTAAGCAGCCTGGGTATGCTGAAGCCCTGTGAGTCTCGTAAAATCACCTGTGGGGGATGCCCTGCTCATTCTTGAGTGAGGGTGAGGAGCTGAGGAACCCGTCCTTGGGGGATGGGTGGGGAACATGGCTTGGGGTGGAGCCCAAGCCACATGTAGAGTTTGGATCCCCGACCCATGTGCTTGTGCAGTGGGTTGGCCTGAGTGCAGGGGTCTGCGAGTCGCATGGGTGGCCATGAAGGCCGAGTGTTGGAGCGACAGCAGACAGAAACCCTGAGGGTTGGCGATTACCCCCAACAGAATAGAATTGCCAATCCCAGAGAGAGTGCATCCTGGGGGTGGATGCTGTGTGTGGCTTGTAGCCGAGACTACAGCCAGAGAAGGCCAGGAAGCCTGATGGCTCCTGGTGTGTTACAGTAGATGCCGTGAGTGATTCCCCTCCCTCGTATGAGCAGTGCCTTCGGCAGCAGATTTGGTGGCTCATCTGCTGGTACCAATAATTGTCTTTTGCACTAGGTTGGGGTCCTACCTGGACTTATTTGTGTTCTGTTGTATTTTGTTATATTGTGATGTATTTGCTTTTGTGGGCCATGGCTGCATTGTTTGTTTGCTAAATTGTATATATGTAGATTATATGGCAGAAAACCCTGAGGGGGTGTTCTGTAGGGTAAGGAAAAGTATCAGGCTTTTCTGCCCTCCCGCCATCAGGATAGATGATGGATCCTTGGGGTCCTGAATGCATGCCTGATGGCGGACACCTGGAATAGGGTGTGGGCATAGGTAGATGGGGTTCACCTGGGCTAAGACTGTGCTTTTAAGGGCGGCGTCACGGGGACGCCAGCAGCAGCAGAAGCCGAAAGAGAAGCCGAGAGAAAAGCCAAGAAGCAGCAGCAGAAGCAGAGAACGCCAGAGAGCCCAGATAGAGTGAGGATTTGCTGGGGGTTGGGAGGCCTGCCAGCCTCCCGGCCCCCCAGCACCCCTGCCTGCCATATGCCTGGTGAACCCCAGTAAAAGACCTGCAAAAAAACCACTGAGGACTCTGATCCCTCCTTTACCCCATCTGCTGGATTAGATAACATGCTCAGTGGTCAGTCCTGCCCTTACAAGAACTTAACAAAAATAATTTGAAGCATGAAATTGTGATGTATAGTTTTGGAAACCTTGACCTACTCGATGAAGAGCCGGGATGCTGCAATCAGAACCAAGTTTTAAGTCCAGGTGCCACCACTTACTGCTGATGGTATTAAGCAAACAACTCCGTCTCCCTCTGCAGGTTTGCTTGTTGGTAGAATGGGGTAATACCCTCCCAAGATGGTTATGAAGGTTGGGAGATAATTTTCTTAAGTTTTTGGTGCACGGTGACTGCTCAGTAAACTGTACCTGTTATGTCATTATTATACTAGGGTTTGGAGCTTAACTTGCTTTTCCAGCCTTATGAAAAAAGCAGGAGGCAAAGCAGAGGACCTTTTAATTAAGTTATTGGAAGTAATGCAGCAGCTTTAACGGTAATGAGTGATCTGAATTTCCCTGTGCTTGTGAGGGCAGCTGGTAATACACCTAGAGACCCATAATGCCTCACCCTAATCTGAATATGTATAAATCCTGTCACTCAAAGTCCTGCTCAGAAGCCTCCTCCTCACAAAGTCTTCACCCTCCCTCCCTCACCGGCAGCTTGCAATAATTTCTTCATATGAACTCCTACAACCATTTTTCTCTCTTTAGCACTTAACACTTGCTACTACAAACGGGTTATTTTTGTACTGCTGTTTTTATTTTCCTATCAGCATGCTTTTAAGGGTAGGGTGCAGATCTTGTCCTATCCTTGTAGAAATAATATAGTGATTTGTAATAATCACTACATATTTGTCAAATGGAAAACATGCTTATCGCTATATAGTTCCCAAAATGGCTATTTACATCGTTGTAAATAAACAGAAAGAGTTGATTTTCTCATAATTAAGCAAGACTCTACAATTTAGGGCCTCCCTCTTGGCTCAATGGGTTAAGCACAGCACTGTGAAGCTATTCGCAGCCTCTGCAGCAAGAGTTCGATCCCAGGCCCGCCAGGGAGCACATGGTGCAGCAGACCTCTCCTGTCTCACCAGCTGCTCCCCTCAGCAGTGTATTTCAGTCAGTTTGCCTGTCTGTTCCCCGCTCTATCCCTGGTGAATCCTCTCACCCCCAGCACCTCTGGCCTATACCCCAGTTCTTGTATGTATAAATAAATAAATCTTTAAAAAAGAATTTACAATTTAGAGCTCTTTTCAAGAGTAATTTCTATTAGAGTATCATTTGCTGCCCTCCTGTGTTTGATACAAATATTATTTTATACCAGAACAAAAAAAAAGAATGAAGCTTAATATTTTATTTGGACTGTACTTTGTTTACCTTCAGATCCTTGAATGAATTTTTTTCCCCACAAAAACAATTGTTCTTCCCATTAAAATCTTTATCCAATGTATTTCAAGTTACATAATTTCACTTAGAATTATCATAATGTTCATATTGGTCTGATATTCCTTCAGTATAATCTAGTAAGCTTTTAACAGTTCTACTTTTTATCTGAGACAATAACTGGTTTCAAATTATTCTAATATAATTCTTACATACTAAACCTGTTTGGGCAACAGTGTACTTGAGACTTTATAGTCTGGAGCTATAAAGAGCTGGTACAAATCTTGGCTTAGGATAATTGCATGCATAGTAACTGTGTGGCCTTGGGCAAATTACTTTCTGAACCTGTTTCTTTTGTCAAAGATAATAGCTCCCAAAGATCACATAAAACACAAGGACACCATACAAGTTATTAATATGTTGTTGTTACTACCGTAGGAAGCACATTTTCAAACATTTCTTTGGTATTATCTATTTGGTTAAAACTGAAAAATGCTACGAACATAAATTAGCCTAGACCTGGCCTGTAACTGGAATAAGTCCTCTTTCCATAGTCAGCACATCATTTATTGAACACTTGTGATGTACCAGGTTTGGATCTAGACACGTATCAGATAATGAAACAGACAAAAATCCTTACCCTTGTGAAACCTAGCAGTATAGTATTAAGAATTCTAGCCAATTCATGGAAGTCTTTCTCTAAGTCGCTATCCTGTGAACTGTTGCAATTCTCACTGTCCATATTACTCATGGGATTCTTTTTGTGAACGACCCTATACTAGACATCCCGTCCCTTCCTCTTTCTCTCCAGGGCAGGTTGTCATCTCTCTGGCTTTGCTGCAGCCTCCAGTTAGGGGCCTGAGCTCATTCGCAGGCCCTTTGTATGCCCTTATCAAGGTTTGTATGAACAGGGATTTACAGCTTGACTGTCACCTACACATAAAGGGAGAAAAAAACAGTGTTGCTACTTCTATTCCTGCGCTTCAAAGAAAACGACAGACAACATTTGTTAACTGATAAAATTCAAGTTTTTAAGCAATAACTTAAAATTGTGGAAAACTTAAACCGTTCCTGTGAATTTTTTTTTTTAGGATTTATTTATTTATACAAGCACTGGGTACAGTCAGAAGCGCAGGAGGGTGAGAGGATTCACCAGAGCCAGAGCAGAGAGCAGAGCAGGCAGAAGGACTGAAGTACACTGCTGAGGGGTGCAGCGGGCACTGCAGGAGAGGTCTGCGCGCCATGTGGGACCCTCGCTGGTGGCCGGGGAGCGAACCGGCGCTGCAGAGGCTGCGAGCAGCTTCGCAACCCAGCGCTCAACCGCTGCGCCACTGGGGAGGCCCCGTTCCTGTGAATTTTTAATGTAACAGAGAATGAAGAGTCCACTAATCTAGTTTCAGATTCCATGTGGTAACTTTTAAGAAGTCACCACTTGTTGGGTTTTGCTAGAGTATCAAAGAATATTTGAAAAGACTATTAAAATAGTTTCCCCCTCACATTGTAATAAATTATATTTCTTTATTGGATTTTTTTTAATACTTCAATCTAAACTTCACATCCCAATAGGTTGAATGCAGAAGATATGAGAGCCCAACTGTCATCTATTAAGGGATCTGCAAAATGGTTTTTACAAAAACCCATTCCTTTCACTAAATTGTTTCGGAAATAGCTGCTTTCTGTAAGAAATGTTTCTGCCAGCCTACCAAGGTTTTATTATCACTTTAAAATACTAAGTATTAAATTTTTTTGTTATAATTTCTAATTTGGTGAATATCAACAGTCAAAACCTTCATAAACAAAGGTAATGTAGTAAGAGTCCCAAGGCCCAAAGGTTTGAAAGCCAGGGAGCTGACCCACCTGGCGCAGCAGATCTATCCTGCCTTGCCCACTGCTCCCCTCAGCAGTGTATTTCAGTAGATCCGCCTGTTCTGCTCCCCACTCTGTCTCTGGTGAATCCTCTCACCCCCTACATGTACCCCCCCAATTATGGCCTACACCCCAGCTTTTGTATGCACAAATAAATCGTAAAAAAGTATTTGATCAATATCAAAATGAGCATTCTATTTAATACTTCGACCCTACCACTACTCCCAACCCCCACAGCCATCTTCTAACACTTGCTAATTTATATCTACGGTTCACCTGGCCTCACTCTCCGTGAGCCAGTATAAGCACCAAATGCCTGAAAACTACCCTCTACATAGGCTCGGCAAGTATTTGTTAAATGTCGAATGAATGAACTAGCTTGCCAATTTGTCAATGCTCAAGAAATGGTAGTTCCAAGAGAAAGAGGATGCAATTTACAGAGATGAGAGGACAAGAACTTTTTTTTTTGAATGAGAGGCGAGTAAAGGCGGGATACAAGGATCACAAACCTCAATACTGAAAGCATTAATGGGCCTGGGAAAAGGTTCTGGGTAGAAGTCGGGGAGGGAGAATACTGTCGGGATGGAGCAGAGAGCATTGACGTTTCTAGACAGTGACCGCTGGCTGAGCCCCCTCCCCTCCTTCGGACTCCCACCAAATTACAGTACCTAGAGCCCTCACTGGACCCCACCCGAACACAAACAGTCCACACCAAGAGTCTGAAATTTTTGGAAATTTTATGGAAAAATTTTATGGAAATATTTTATGGAATTTTATGGAAAAAGCAAGAATGACAATAAACTAGTCAAAAGACGAGCTACCAGATCCGTTCTCACGAGCGTCTCCCCTAATGCTTGCTGGGTTTAGGGTCTCTGCAAGGTCACAGTTCTCTGGGGTCCTGAGGCTCCCAACACTGTTCTGAAAGGTCACCGACAGGTAAGTCAGCTGGGAGACGCCCCAGGTAAGCACCGCTGAATAAGGACAGCACGAGCAGCAGGAGCCATGGAGCATCGGCCCACTGGGGGCAGAAACACGCAGGGGAGACAGCAAACGAGAGACGGCGGCAGGTGGTCCCGCACAGCGCTCGCAGGCGGGGCCTCAGTTCTCCTCGGGCTTGTCGGCTGGAGGCCCGCAAGGCTGCAGCATCTTCTCCATCAAGTTGAAGCGGACTCGCGCTTTGCTCTCATTCTCCGCGATGGCGAAGTAGTTGAGGAGGTCGAAGTGGCCCATGTAGGAGCAGTAGGAGTCGCGGTGCTGGTTCACCAGCCACTCCCACTTGGTGGTGTCGGCGTGGCCGGTGCCGATGTACTTGGACTGCAGGTGCTCGAGCTGGCTGTGGATGGTGTAGCGGTCGGTCATGTCGCCGCTCCCTCCTTCGCCCCCAGGTCAGAGGCCGCAGACGAGGAGATGCCGGAGTTACACGCCGGGGAGCCGCTGCCGCTCACAACCTCCGGACCCGGGCAGTCGCACGCGAATGGCGTCATCGCGACGCAGCTGCGTGGCCCGCGTGCTGGTGCTCAGAGGCGGAAGCGGAAGTGTGTTCTGTCGCGGAATTGGAGTTGCCTAAGCGACGCCACGAGTAGCCCGCCCCTTTAGAAAGCCCCGCCCCCTCCGTGAGGCGTTGCTTTCCGGTCGCTGAGCCGGAGCGTTGCATTCTGGGACTTGTGGTTTCCATCGGTCCTGAGCGCGGGCTTGTGCGACCGCTGGTCGCCGAGGAGAGCCGGTGCGCGGCCTGGTCTTGGGGGGTGTGTGGGAGGCGGGGAGCCTCCCTGAGTGTTTGGCGGGTGAGAGTGAGAGGAGATGGGACGGGACTACAAGCCAAGTGTGAAAGTGAACTCTTGGCATAATTCCGCTTCCGGAGATAACGTGGAGGCCCCGCAGCCCCTTCACCCCCAGAAATGGATCACCCCGAAATCGGGGGGTGCCAGCTGGGGTCCCAGCCGTGTCACCAGCAGGTGGGGTGGCGTCAAAGTCGCTGCACGCTGGCGGGGCGTTTCCCGCCTGCTGACCACTGTGCAGGCCCTGCCTCGCACGTGCGGCCTGCCGGGTCCCCCTCCCCGGCCCTGGCGGACTCTGGGGCCGCGCCCCGCGCCCCGCGCCCCGCGCCCATCCCCCGCCGCCCGGCCCGAGCTGCTGCTGCGGCACAAGCTGTTCCCTCGGCGGGAAATGGTTTTGTTCCCTTGGCGAACACTTCTCTCTTTAAGTCAGGCCTAAAGCATCTCCTTGAAATTGGCTTTGGCTACGCCAGACAGATGTAAATTCTTTCTCTTTGCATTTTGTGTATCTCCTCGGTAATACCGCTTTAGAGCCTTTTTTTTTTTTTTTTTGGCTGAAGAAGTTCTGTGAATACAAATATTTGAGAAAATTAGTTTGCTTTGGGGATATCTTTTAGGTAAACATACTTCTTCGGGGGTTTGATAACTTCCATGGTCTAGCAGAGGATTGTATTCTCAAAAACTTTCATGATCTCAAAAAACATTTGGTAACTGGATAGGCAAGTACATTACAGTCAAGTAGAAGGAGCTTTTTAATGGGAGAAAGCTAGCTTTAAAATCGTTTTATTCTAGTACAATGTTGCAGTTAGAGGGTGAATAAGACTAGGGATCTGATGTACAGCATGATGACTACAGTTAATACTGTGGTGTCTATTAGAAATGTGCTCAGATAATAGATTTATGGTGCTCTCACTGTAACAGAAAAAAAGGTGACTTCTATCCTAAGTGGAGGTGAATATATATTAATTAGCTTGACTGTAGTAATCATTTCACTATGTATGTGTATCTCTCATGTTGTACCCATTAAATATATGTTTTTTATTTTAAAAAATGACAAACTATTCTTTATGATATCAAGTGCATTTACCAGAAATGAAAAAAAAGTAGTTTTATTCTTTTCCTTAGATTATCTTATAACAAACATTCAGTTCTAAAGTGTAGAAACTAGTAAAAGGCATATCTGTGGGTTTACCATCCAGCTATGTCAAGCCTTGTCCTGCTACCGTTTTCTTGTTTCTGCTTTTGTTACTTGTTTTGAATTTGTATTTTTAGTGGAATAAAATTTTGCAAGTAAACTTGAAGTTCTCTGTGGTCCTTTCCATAATCTATTCATTTCAGGATATTATCTTGACTTTAGAGTTGATTATTCCAGTCTTTTTTTTTTAAGTGATTGCTGAAAGTATGTATGCATAAACAAAAGGTATTATTCTTATGAGTGTCTTAAAGCTTTTTTATGACATCCTGTATGCATTTTTATAGTTTGCTTGTTGTTCTCATCAATATCCATGTTCACATATAGCTTTAGTTCATTTCTACTGTTGTGTAATTTGCTCCTAAATTAAAAAACTATAACATATCCACTCAATAAAGGGTATTTAATTTCACACTTTTGCTATTATAAATAATGTTGCAATGAATATTCTTTTGTATATATATTTTTTTACAAATGTAAAGGGGTTTCTCTAGGGCATGTGAGAATGAAGTTGTTGAGACATATTTGCTAGATGTAGCCAAATTGCTCTCCAAAGTGGTTATACAAATTGGCTGTCCCACCAGCAGAATGAGAGTTCCTTCTGACCCACATCCTTTCCAAATCTTAGTGTCCACAGGTATTTAAAAAAAAATTGAAATCTGATGTGTTGGAATGAAATTTCATTGTGCCTTTCTTTACATTGCATATCCCTGCTTATCAGGGAGACCGAACATGGTTTTCATGTGTTTATTGGCCAATTATATTTCTGCTGTGACTTATGTATTCATATCCTTTGTCTACTTTCTTACTGTGTTTCTCTTTTTCTTACTAATACTCAGTTTCTAGGCTTGCCAGTTATAGAAAGTCAAAAATGTTTTGGTCAGGAGACCCTCTAGAAGAAAGCATTCGCCAGAGAGTCTCACGGGAACCAGACAAGGCTTAGTAAAGGGTGGTGCATAAAGGGACCCCTCCTGGAAAGGAGAATTTGTCCTGGTTGGCTCACAGGGGAAGTTGTGGGGAAGGGTGATTAAAGGATGGGTTTACAAAGAGGGGCAGAGGAGAGCAGCATCGCAGTTTGTTCTGGATGGGGTTATTCCCAGGCATGCACAGATGGGTTACATTTCAACTTTTTTTTTTTGTGGGACCCTCGCTGGTGGCCAGGGATCAAACTGGCCCTGCAGAGGCTGCAGGCAGCCTCGCAACCCAGCGCTCAACCGCTGCGCCACCAGGGGAGGCCCTACATTTCAACTTTTTAAAAAGATTTTATTTATTTATGCATACAAGAGCTGGGGTACAGGCCAGAGATGCGGGGGTGGGGGGGGTTGTGTGTGAGAGGATTCACCAGAGACAGAGTGGGGAGCAGAACAGGCAGATCTACTGAAATTCACTGTTGAGGGGAGCAGCAGGCAAGTCAAGAGAGGTCTGCTGCGCCATATGTGTTGCTCCCTGGCAGGCTTGGGATCAAACTCATGCTGCAGAGGCTGTGGACCGCCTCAGTGCGGTGCTTAACCCCCTACACCATCAGGGAGGCCCTTAGATTTCAACTTTGCATAAAGCCTTTCAGTCTTCTCCCCTCCAGGAAGTTGTGAGATAATCATTAGTCAGGATCTAATGCTTATGGTCTAGCCTGGCACCTTTGGTCAGTCTGGTAGGCCATATTCTTTGGACAGGATATTGGGATTGGATCTGCCATTCTGTGATCTAGTCTACCTGTCCAAACAGGTAATTGAGCAAATAAACCTTACTCAGTCCTCAATTTAATTCCTTGTTTGAATGGAACATGGGGCAACTTTTATGCTACTGGCTCTAAATTTCTTTCACCTATGCTAACTCAGTTACATGAAATGAAATATTTTTTTCCAGTCTGTGGCTCATCTTTACACTTTTTTAATGATATCTTTTGTTGTACAGAAACAAAAAGTTTGAAGTAGTCAAATATATCAATCTTTCTTTCTGGTTTATGCCGTCAGTATTCAGTTTAAAAGTGAAATCCAGAAAATTTCTTTTCTACCCTGGGGTCAAAAAAAAAAAAATAGTTTCCTTCATTTTCTTCTTTTTGTTTTTCTTCATTTTCTTTTTTCATATTTAGAATTTTATATCACCTGGAAGATTTTGTTTTGCTTTAGGGGGTCTAATTTTTAAATATTTTCCTATATGGTTAACTAATTTCTAAGTTATAAACAATTATTTATTAATGTACTTTCTTTCCCCACTCATCTTTAGTGCTTCTTTTGTATATCAATGGCCCTGTTTCTGGCCTTTCTATTCTATTAATCTCTGTCTGTAGTTACATCTATAATACAGGATATTAATTATTGTAACTTTATTGTAAGTCTTGATAGCTGACAGAGTGAAAGCTTATACTGTTTTCTTTTTTCTCACTTGTCTTAGTCCTTTACTCTTCCACATGAGTTTAGAATTGTCAGTAAAATCCTCATGAAAATTGTGATTAGTCAAGCGAAGCAATGTAAATTAATCTTATTTTTATAACACTAAGAATGATTCTACAACATGATAGAATTCTTCAAAGTCAAAAATCTTTGGAACTAGATGAAAAATACATGTAACAAGAGCCAGGGTGGATTGGTTTACTAGGGCTGCCAAGACAAATTATCACAGTCTGGGAGGCTTAAACAATAGAAGTTTATTTCTTCACAGTTCTGGAGGGTGAAGTACAAGATCAAGGTGATGGCAGGGTTGGTTTAATTCTGAGTTTTTTCTCCTTCACTTGCCAATGACCATCTTCTCTCTATAACTTCACATGGTTTTCCCTCTGTGAGTATGTGTGTCTTAATTTATTCTTATAGACACAGTCATATTGGATTAGAGTCTACCCAGATGATCTCTACTTACTTTAATTTTTAAAAATTTTAAAAAAGATTTATTTATAATACAAGAACCGGGGTACAGGCCAGAGGTGTGGGTGGGTGAAAGAATTCACCAGAGACAGAGTGGGGAGCAGAACAGGCAGACTGACCAAAACACACTGCTGAGGGGAGTAGCCGGTGAGACAGGAGAGGTCTGCTGGGCCATATGGGTTGCTCCCTGGCTGGCGGGGGAATGGAATTTGTGCTGCAGTGGCTGTGGATAGCTTCAAAGTTTGTGTCTTAACCTCTTGTGCCTCCAGGGAGGCCCTCTACTTACTTTAATTGCCTCTTTTAAGCCCCAATTTCCAAACACAGTCACATTCTGAGTTGCTGGGGGTTACATTTAAATTTTTTTTATTATTGCAGGAAAAAATGAACTTCAAATTGAATTGAAGTCACGTTTCCTTTTGAAATGTGAAAATTATTTTAATTATTTTTGGCTGTAAGCAAGTTTTTCTCCCCACCTCCTCCCTTCAGGTTTTAAATATTAAAAGGATTTTCAATATGCACAGGTGTTGATATCATGTTTCACACTAGGGGTCGCTAAAACAGTATTAAACACCAACAAATAGACAATGGTTGAGAACATTTCATAATTAGGTGCTTTTAAAAAATAGGCACCTTGATTTCTTAACCACAATAT